AGAACAAGTGTCTCTGTTTGTTGAGCTTGCGGCTGCTCGCATCATCAGCATCATCATCTCTACGGCCTGCGCCCGCACCTACCCAATAACTCATTTTGCCTTTTCTTTTCACACAACTTATTGATCTTCTTCTTCTTCGTCTTCTTCTTGATTGTATTGTAATTTATAACTGAATTGGACAAGCCTTTGTCTTAAGGGGTGCTCTGAGTAGTGAGTTTATTATATAGAGGAAGAGGGAGAGGGAGCTTTGGCTGGCAGAGTACTTATCAGTTGGCTCGAGAGGGATGGGGTTTTAGCGGTTTTGGATAACCCCAAAACAAAACCAAAAACCATTGGTAGGAAGCCCTGGTTTCTGGTGTTACCAGTGGCTGCTATTGGAAGCCATGGTTTCTGGTGTTACCAGTGGCTGCTATTCTTCTTGTTATTTATTTATTCGTTCTACAAATTTGATGGTGACCAAATCCAAAGGCTTCTTTCTTGGGAAGACAACAAAGAAAAGTTTAAACTTCTTGGGCAAGTAGAAGCAGATATCAAAGTTTGAAGTTCTTAATGCTTGCTAGGAGCTTCACACACGTCCGTCAAATAACGGTTGAGAATGTCATAGTTGGCCTTGGTACTTGGAACCATATTTCTAATTTCTTACTTAAAATATCCTAGACTTTGCAAAGAGATCCTGCATATAACATAACTGGACCAACATTTGCCTAAAAGTATGGTAATGTTAGTCGATGCTCAACTTACCTTGTACACTTCCACATCATTCAAAAGACCAGTTTTATTCTCGAAAGAGACACGAAATCAACACAAAATCGCATTATCTACAGAGAGATGTGACTACTAGCTAAGTTCAGAGTACTCCCACATTACAAGAGACTCCACTTCAAATTGTTTTCTTTTTTTACATCAAAGTATAATGGATTGTCCTCGTCATTTTTTTTAATACAACATCTGCGGGAAAAGATAAAAGATGGTTACAAGTGATAGACCAGAGTGGACTATTGATTTTTCCACTCAATCAGCGAAAACCTTACAAAACAAATGAAGCACCAGGTCATGCCGAGTCCACCCCTTCCACTTGCTGCCTAGCAAGATATCTTTCCCTCCTCTCCTTCTAAACAAGACAGAAAGAAACGATAAAAATGGATGAAGCACATAATAAGGGGAAAGTCATTTCACAACCAACTTTCGTGTCACAACAGAACAAAGTACTCACCCATTCATCTATCACGAGCCCTTCTCCAATAATCTTCGGACCAGTATCTTCTGGAGGTTTCTTGCGTTCCTCAAGCGCAGCATCAGCATCAGCCAATTGACGCTTCAGTTTTTCCATAGCCTTGAAGAAACAAAAAAAGGTTCATCTCTTAAAACAGGTATCCCTTTCAGTATCAGTATCATAAATGTGAACAGTGAACATGTCCCTAAGCAGGTTCATGATATACACTTTACAAATACAAATATTGACATCAAGTTAAGGACACATCAACCACACTTACCGGGGTAGAACGCTCTGGATCTAGAAAGACAACCCGTAGGATCTGCTCTATTGCCACTTGGTCCTTCAGCTCATCAAACTGTTCACAAGAAAGAATTTCTAAGGTTAGTGCCAGAATTTTTTTTCAAAAGAATGTTCCACATGACTGGCACTTCAGTTTTTCCATAGCCTTAACGAAACAAAAAAGTTATAATCCCTTGAAACATGCATCCTCTGCAGCAGGAGTACCATAACAGCAGACACATGCTCAGTTTAGACCATTCAAAAAATTCAAAACAAATTTGAATTTTATTGCATACCATAAATGCAAACAGCAGACACAAGCTTTTCACTTTTCAACATGACTGCCAATTCATATCAACTTGTATCTATTGTGAAGAAACTATGCAATCAACAGCTAAGATAATTCAAATGTATTAAAAACCAAAGCTTTATACCGTTTCTGAAGACATGGCTACAACTTCTTCAGAATGAAGTCTGCTATTAACTACACTCAAATCAGCTTTTAATTAAAAGAGTTAATATTCCATTAAGTCTGGACACTTTAATAGTCACCTCACGAAAAGTATCACCACGGCAGGGAGATTATGATTTCAATAAAACAAAATTGCCGCGTATAGCCATAAGTCATTTGACATCTACTCCAGGACAACTACAGCAATGCCCGGTTTCTTATTCAAATACAAAACTTCATAGTGTCGCTTACTACCTGCAATCAGTATTATATACTAAATGTACGATCCTAAAAAAGAACTAAGATTAAACATACACGAAAAATCTAAATAGCTTAGTTATAGAAATGTTCAGGCCTATAAATAAGCACACCTAAGAGAACACCCAAATCAAATATTTCTGAACATGGTTATCAAATTTAGTTAATAAATTAACAATAAACCTCAAGATAATTTTTAAAGGATGCATGCAACTCACCAGCTCGGGTACATAGTCCATTGCTCCTTTCACCTTCAGGCTCATGATTTTAAATTTAACCCTGCTCTTTTGATCCACCAATTTTTCATTGTTCTCTGGAACCTCCACAAACTTGAATACTGTCATCACAAACCAAAATTAAGAAAAACTTGCTAGAAAAGCAAAATTAAGAAACCACTTGAATAGAAAGATAATAATGGTTCCAACTCTATAATATAAAAGGGCATTCGATGAAATTGCAAAAAATTATACAAAAACCATTACCCGTTGCTATAATGCTTTCGCCAGGACTAAGAATAGCTCCTGGAGGACGCATGAAACAACTTTTTGGTGCAGTTGTTTGAAACTACAGTAAGAAAAGTAAGCAACTCATTAGAAAAATTCAAACAGGATAAGAAGCTTTGACAATGTCATCAACATTAGCAGAAAGAAAACTGTAAACATAAGATGGTTACGGTACCTTGAAAGCTACATATGACTTGCTTGTGTTTTTAATTCTAATGGCGCTCCTAACCTGCTTTCCAGGTTCACCTTCAAGAAACACAGAGTTCATACATATAAATAACCAAATGAATCATCAGGCAGCAATAAAGCGAGCAAACCTGCATACATCTTTAATCACAAACAAATACCGAAATAAACTGCTTGATTGGCCACTTTAGCCATTAAACCATTCCAAGAATTCTGATTAGAAATACAAAAATCATTGATATCGCTGATGAGCAACACGATTAGCTCAACTTTAATCCTTATGTTTAGACAATCATCAAGCTAAAACAAATAATTTCATACTAACTAAAATCCGCAACATAATCTAAAATCTAGAAGCAAATCTAAATCCACAACAATTTATCACAATATACAACTATTTTAGGCAAACGCAATTAAACTGTAACATACCAAATATGGTGTGTGTATATACATATATATATATATGTGTGTGTATATAATTAGAATAAATTAATATAATGGATTAGATAAGACGTACAAGGAAAATAGAGTTTATTGTGGGGATCGAGCTTGAGTCTACGGCGAGTGGGGAGCAGCGACCTGGCGACGGACGACACCGAATTCGTAGCTGGTGGATTTGATCCGTCGCCTTGAGGACCGTTGCTATGCTGAGGAGCGTTGTGCGACGACGATGTGGACGACGTCGTAACGGTGGTGTTCCCGGACGGCCGAAACGGCCGCTTGAAGAAGCCCCAGACTTTTCCGTCGGACGACGACTTTTGGTCAGCTATGGTCATCTCTCAGAGCATTAGACAAAGTCAAACGGCGTCGGTTACCGGCTTCACGGTCTGTAACTCTGCGTCTGCGTTGGTTGGTGGTGACAAGTGAGAGGGGCAAATCGGAACTGAGGGGGAGGATTTAATTGAATTTGACCGATTGAGTTCACGCCCGGCCTTTTGTGCTCACCTTTTGTAGCGTCCTCTCCTCCCGCTTTGTACTTTCACTACTTGGACAATGGTGGAAACGACGCCGTACTGAGGATAGAATGCTTTTTCCACTTTTCTGTGAAAGTGAACCAAGCCCAAGTCTGGGTCGCAAAAGACAAACCGTTGACGCGAGGCTGCGGAGTTGACTTTGCGTTAATCAAATCAGAGGCCTGAGCCGAGAGAGTCTCAGACGGTAATTTTTTGTTAACGGTGGGTTTTGGTGGGATTAGGTTCTTATTTGCTTGCTTAACAAATTCTTGAGTGCGCGTTTAATTATTAATTAAATCCTATGTGGAATGCGAACACGAGAAATGCTTGAGTTGAGTGGTGCCAGTGATGACCAGCAAATCACAGCAGCTTTTCACTGTTTTTCCTCCAAGCTGACCCAACGCAACAACATTTTAGACTTTGATTTTTCTTTTTCTTTTTTGCCACAATGGACTGCCAATCAATCAAAGGCTGAATCGGAGGATAGCAAATAGCATACAATGGACTGCCACCCACAAAGCCCACAATAAATTTTAATTTTATTATCGATATGTTTGGGAATTTATTTTTAATATAACAAACAAATCATAATTTAAATTATTTTAAATTAATCTTATATATATAGCGGAATTTGAAATTGAGTGAAAAGAACGAGCTCATTGATTTGACCAACTGGCCTAAGACATGCAACTTGAACTTATCTTTTCATTTTTGAAAGAGTGAAAAAAGTTAATTTATGTTTTATTTTAATTTGCAAAATATAATAAATAATTTTGTCTTGCTAAACAAATCTCATTTCTAAAAACCTTATTTGTATATAAGAAATTGTAATTTATCCCAAAACAACGATTCTCCCACAAGCTTATCTAAATAGCAGACCTCCATGATTAAGACGTGGAGATAGAGATTCCATACCAAGAATTTAAAATTAAAAAAAATATTCAATTTTAGCGTCAATTACGCGTTTGAAGTCGCCTTGGCCATGAAAACAACCTGGAACCCTTATTCAAATTAAAATTCAAGAATGTTTTGGTTGAATTATTATATTAAATTAATTAAACCAAAAAAATAAAAATACTTGGAACATTTGCCTTCCAATGCCCAAAAAGCGTGACAAAAGCAGGAAAGGCGTCCTCCTAAATTGTAAACATAAGACAATTAAGCCGTGCAAGCGTTTTATTCAAAACTGGATGTCGTTTTTACAAAGTCTTGTTTAGTTAGAGAAACTCGGAAGAATCATCCCATTGAAGGACAGCAGAGTCTAAGTTCTGCTCTCTTTTCAGCTTGTCCTTCACAAACCAGTCGCATACCTTGCCAGCATTTAGCTCCTCAATTGGGCAACCTTCTTGCTCTGATATCACTCTCAGCAGATTCAAAGACGATATCTATGTACACATATTTATACACAAAATTTAAAATGAATAAATATTTAGAGAGAGGAAATTAAAGAATAAAAATGTGTATATATTAATTTCTACTTACCGTTAAACGACATAGGAACCTCTCGTGAGTGCTGAGACCAGATATTTCTACTAGACCAGCTTCTTCTAGGGTTAGGAAAGGTCGTCTTTCGCTGCTTTTCTCCTCAGCTGCTTCTCCTCCTTGTCCACTGCTACTTGCTCTCACGCCAAGTTTTCTTTTATGGGGGCTCAGTATTTTGCATGGTGCAAAATGGGCACTTTGAGTTCTTGCTGCTTGTTGAAGTTGATGAGGGTTTGAGAGGAAGGGTGAGTTATGGTGGCTTTTGCAAAGCTTGAGCGAGAACATGTTATCTGATTTAGGTGAAGGGTTTTGCTCTGTTTCTTGAAGTAAATGCGTGTGTTCGTAGTGGCAAGACAAGAGCAAGAAGAAGAAGAGGGGAAGAGAAGCTTATCGCTTTTATTTTGAAAGATTTTTTATTTGTGGTGGAGACCGGAGAAGGTGGTTTGTTAGCAGATTAGATTGGGCTTTGCAGCCTGTGGCGTCAAGACCGATGGGTTTGGCTTGGGCTATAGTGAACACTATTGAACTCCATCTTTCTAAAATGAGCCCATGGAATTTTGCCATGTGCATAATTTGATCTGTAACCACTGAATTCATCCACGTTTTAATCCAAGTCAACATAGCCATCAATTATTTATCATACCAGTAGATTTTGAGTTTTCCCAATGTCCTTAACTTCTCAATTTTCATTCATTTTGTGAAATAAGTAGGGTAGTTTTGCTCACATACATTGAGATTCAAGCGATTAGAAAGAGAGATCGATCGAATTTGAGCGTAAAGGAACGGATATATTGCCTTGCCTTAACTAACTAGCTTAACTCAACCTTGCAATTGGACTCATTTTTCAAACCGATAGGATATTGACTTGAAATTTGATAGAAATAATATACATGTATACAAACTACACAAAAGAAATTTATACATGTCCCATCAAAATTTACACCAAAAAGCAATAAGCTGATGAGCTAAAAGCGAGACACCTCTCAAATTTGATTAATCTCGTTTGTAGCTGCTTGCTTTGGTTTAGATTAAAGAGTAAAACGACACCGCTGATCAGTTAGGACCCCAACAGCTCAAGTACATGACAGTCCTGAGAGACTCCTCTGCTTGCTTAACCTTGTCACTGTTGCCAGCCTTGAAAGCACCCGAATCAACAGATGAAGAGAAACGCCATGAAGATGAAGAAGAAGAAGAACAAGAAGAAGATGATGAACCACCACACTTGGGAGCCTGCTCTTTGACCCCCTGCATGACCCTCATCCCTGCCTGGTACACCGCTCTACTCACGTCCCTCAAGCTCATGCCCAGATAATAATATCCCACAAATGAATTTTCAAAGCAACAAAAAATCTTGGGTTGCAATTGTTTTTTTATGTATCAGTTTCGCTTTTGGATTGATCTTGCTTGTATATATAGAGAGGGTAAAGAGAGAAAAAGGTGAATTCAGTAGATGAATCCCAGGTTTTAGAAATCTATGGCTTTGTTGACCGCTGAAAACATGGGAAACAGACGGCAGTGATGTGATGGATAGCGTGATCACAACGGACTTTGCAATGACAACTTGGGGGGGAAGTGGGGCCCTATCCAGTGAGCGAGGGCCACGTGTCTTAGGATAGCTCTAAACTTCAGGATAAGGACAAGATTTTCGACGTGGGATTCTGGAAGTTTCTGTCTTCCGGATTTTAAATAATTATCCTTTACATGATAAAGATCATTTCTGATTTAGATGTTTTGAATTATTCTTGATCAGGGTAAACACGTTATAAAATGATTTTATCTAAACGATAGATGAGGCACGGTAAGAGATTTGTAATTCTGTTGAGGCCCAAAAAATTCAAGGCTGTGCTTAAATATATTTTCAGCACACTACAACACTAAGCAGAAAATTCTTATTTAAACAATATACTACACTACAAGCTTAAGTTGGCCCAAGCCATGCGAATGTCTGGGACTTGCTGAACGGTTTGTGGTATGGATGGTTACGAACATTCACGAGGCCTATTGATGGTCAAAGGAGTGGAAGTTTTGGGCTACTTGAGAGCACCAAAACTTAAGCCTATTCCTTGAGTCCAAACATATGGGCAAGCATGAGAGAAAACATAGTAGCTCATCACCTTAAGAAAACCTAATAGCTCATAACACGTGAGAAAGTCCCACATTAGCTAAAGCTTCCAACAGTCTGAAGAAATCAAAATGAACTCACAAGTCGCTGAAAACAAAATAGCCCAGCACCTTATAAAATATCCAATGTCGTGCATCTCTGTTAAAACCAAATCGCAACCAAACCACCAAAAACAAGCAAACCCATGTGCTGATCACCTTTTTGACCAAACACCCTTACCCATTCTTTCCTCTTTAAGCTTTGGTAAGAAAACAAAAAACCAAAGTGAGTGGCTCCTCACCAACATGGAGAAGTCCAGCTACCTGAGGACCTTTGAACCTCAAAAAGCTGCGTACCTACGGGTTCAGGCTAGGGAAATTTCACCAAATAAGAGTAAATGAAAGAAAGTGAGGAAAATGGGAGAGGATGGCTTGACAAAAGTAAGGTTTTCATAGCTTATAAAAGGAGCCACTTTCTTCCCAGCAAAGTCAACTCACCTTGGTTGCTACAAGCCTCCCAGCAACCATGAGAATTCATCGAAAGCAAGCATCCCCTATGGAACCCTTCAATTTCATGCTTTATTCTTCCATCTTCCTCATTTCTCTCTTTCAAAACCCACATCCAGAGAGAGCAAGGATCATCTCTCATCTCTGAAATCCTTCAATTTCAAGTCTTGTTCTTCCATTGCTTCCCATCTTTTCTTCTGTCAAATCACCCAGGAGCTTGATGAAGCTTTCGTCAAGCTGCTGGAAATATGCCAAAGCCACCCATACTTCCATGTTCTTTTTCTCTTTCCATAAACACACATCCAGAGAGCAATCATTATCTCTCATCCCTAAAACCCCTGCAATTTCAAGCCATATTCCTCCATCTCCTCCCATCTCAACTTCTTCTCTCTCTCTCATGCTAAACTCATGAATGCTCAGCTCTCATGCCACAAGCTTCTCATGCCAAGCTCAAGAATTTATCTGTAAAAGACTGTTGGTTTCATTGGTGAAGCAGACCAAAGTGTTTCTTAAGGCTCAGCTACCCTTTCGAAACACTCTTGGGGCCTGATCCTTGAACTCAGACATAGGGGCAGCTTCACCTGTTTCTCTTTTTGGGCAACCCAAGTCCATTCGTCAGGCTGCTGAAATAAAAAGACCCTTACAAATTCAATTGGTTGAGAGTAGTTAGTTACGCATTCTAAATCGTATGTTCGAATCTCCCCTATTCAATATCGTCCCCTTCCTTTATATAGGCCATATCCCACAATATCATTTGTATTAAAGAAAATATATGAGGCATGTACATGGCATGAGGCTTCTAAACAACAAAAATAGCCCATTTATCGAGACGTTAGCAACTGTACTTGATTTATCGAGACGTTAGCAAATGTACTTGATTTATCTAGACGTTGACCTATAAAATTGTATACTTTGTGACATGAGTATAAATTGTATTAGGTTGTTATGAGATTATTCATCCAAGAACGTGGAGCACAAAATGAGTCTAAGCTAAGCACAAATGGTTTGAAATTATTTTTTCAAAATTATTTTCAACTAGCAAGATTAATATTTCTAACCAAACAATTTTATATTATAAAAAAAATAAAAAAAATAAATATTTAGGGCGAGTTTGAAGTCATAATCTAAAAAGAAGGGTTTAAAAAACGGCCCAGACTAAAATGATAAAATGGATAAGCTGGAATTTGGAACGTATGAAATTTTCGCCCCGAAATTCAGGCCCACTACGGCAGGCTTCAGTCTCCACCAACCGCCTTTTAACAACTGTTTAACTCAAACTATACAGTCGACTAGGCCTGGGCACGGATCGGTTCGGAATGGTAGAAGGCTCTTTCGTTAACCAAACCAAAGACTTCGGTAGACTTCAGATCGGTTAACCTAATATTCAGTTCGGATTGATTCGGTACGCCGGTAGTACCGTAATAAAAACATACTAATAAAAATACAATTTATAATACTTTCACATAACATAAGTTCTTGAACAAATACACTAAATTAACCTTATAAAATATAAAAATCCAATAGTCTAATTCATTCAAGTATGAAATCAAATAACTTAGTCATTATATCATTTAATAAATACTAAAGATGTAATGGGAGCCACTTGTGTTTGTTGTTTGAACATTTGAGTATTATTTTTACCGAATTCTCTACATTTATGTAAATGATGTTGACATTTATTCTGTGTAGGGTTATTTAGTTTTTCATGCTGAATTCAACCATATAAAGAAAATAAATTTTGGATTAACGGTTGGAAAGTTACAGGTAAAAAAGGGGACAAAGGTCGAAACTGAAAAACATAGGAAATTCATAAATTCATCTATGATCAAAAAGTGCTACAATACCCGAGTGATAAAAAAGTGATAGAATAATGAGTGATACAATGGTGATAAAGAATTGATATAACAGTGATGAAGGAGTGATACAAAGTACTGATTGTATTTATCTTTTGTTTCTTGTTTTGTATTTAAATAATAAAATAATTATAAATATCTGATCGATATGAGTTTTCGTCGGGTTAGAAATACTGTTACATTAATCAAATCAAATATCTTAGTACGGATCGGATTGAAATAATTAAAATTAAAAAATAATTATTTAACCAAACCAAACCAAAACAATACTTCGGTACTGTACGGTCAGTATGCGGATAATTCGGATGAGATGCCCATCCCTGCAGCCGACCGTTTAACCCGCCATGATTCTCGTCCACTCAGCCCGGCATTTCTCGACCGTCCGATTCAGTCAGCCCGATCCGGCGGTCCGCAGGCGACGCTTCAGCGTGAGGTCGAGTTTGCCGTTCGGCACTGAGAAGGCCAAGCACCATCGGGAGCTGGAAGCAGCCGTCGATGCCGTAGAGAGAGCTTGCGCGCTCTGCGTCGAAGTCCAATCGTCTTTGCTATCGAGTAAACGACGGATTGTTGAAAAAAACGACCAGACTCCGGTCACGGTGGCGGATTTTGGTGTCCAGGCGCTCTTGAGTTTGGGTAATTGCTAATTAGTCCTTTTGTTTTTGGTATTTATTTTCTTAGCAAATTTTGATTGGAGTTTGGTGGTGGCAGAGCTTGGTAAACGCTTCCCTTCCATTCCCTTGGTGGCGGAAGAAGACTCTGCGTTTGTACGTTCAAATAATCTAGTGGGCCCAGTTTTCGATGCGGTTATTAGCAAGACCAGCCATGGAGAAAACCCATGGACGCCTGATCATGTATTGGAAGCTATTGACAGAGGGGGCCAGGATGGTTTTACTTTCGGAGCTCAGCCGGCCACGTATTGGGTTTGTTTCGGATTTGCATTTGCATCGTATGCTTGAATTGAACATTACAAAGATTGCAGCTTTGTGTGTGTTCCTTATGCTCTCTCCTTAAAAATCGTTGCTTTCTTTCATGGTTGCAGTTTTTAGTTAAACATTGTTGCCTTCCAAAATGAACTGAGAAGCATAATGCAGGTACTGGACCCAATTGATGGCACAAAAGGATTTGTGAAAGGAAATCAGGAATTGTATGTGGTATGTCTTACTAACTTCAACAATGTTGCATTGAGTTTCTTTCTCCTCTCCCTGATATTTGGTCATGACAGTGAGTTTTGAATCTTATGGCACCTGTAATTAACTTTGCTATGGAATACAACAGATATTTGCTTGTAAATTTATTCATCGGTCATCA